ATAACCTCAGTCTAATTTATTGAAATTTCATTTATATAAATTGAATGTAAGTAGCGAAGTTTCTAAAACGTACAGAAAGACAGGATAATGTAAAAGTTCAAGTTCCTGTGTCCGATTACAACATTGTCGTCGGAGTCGTTAAGTACAACCGGTAAGAAGGTTGCATCGAAAGACTTCCTTCTGACGTCACTTCCTCCAGTGAATGAACGCACACGGTTTCGGCCGAGATGTCGAGTTATCTTTCGATTTAATCAGCATAATTACTTAATCGTGCCCTGTTTCCCATCAAATATGTTTTAATTGGCTGTTTTCACCCTTCTAAATATATTTTCGACTTCGCCTTACATTTTTATCGAAAAAACTCCACTACTCAATATGACTCCTTGTTATTTCACTTGTTAAATTTATTTATACGTTTATTTGTTATATTTATAAAATATTATTTTTTATATTATATATTTGAGAAGAAATGTGTACATGTATGGTTAGGTTACTTTTTTATATGTATGTGAAACGAGTACATGTGTAATTACTTTTTATATAAATATGAAGTATGTACATGTATAGTTACTTCTACATGCACATATGAGATATGAACATGTGTAGTTACTTCTACATATACATATGAAGTATGTTCATGTGTAGTTACTTCTATGTGCACATATGAAATATGCACATGTGTAGTTACTTCTACATAAACATATGAAGTATGTTCATGTGTAATTACTTCTTCATATACATATGAAGTATGTTCATGTGTAGTTACTTCTACGTGCACATATGAAATATGCATATGTGTAGTTACTTCTTCATATACATATGAAGTATGTTCATGTGTAGTTACTTCTACATGCACATATGAAATATGCACATGTGTAGTTACTTCTACATATACATATGAAGTATGTACATGTGTAATATTACTTTTTCATATACACATGAAATATGCACACGTGTAGTTACTTCTTCATATACATATGAAGTATGTTCATGTGTAATTACTTCTTCATATACATATGAAGTATGTTCATGTGTAGTTACTTCTACGTGCACATATGAAATATGCACATGTAGATACTTTCATCATACGTGTACTCAACAATTCTACATATACAATAAACATAACGAATAAACTAATTAAAATTCCTATTTTAATAACATCATACAAAGGTACACATATGCACACACAAATGTAACATATGTAAAAAGGAATTTTTAATACATAGAACAGTGACAAGTTCTATATCCGATAAAAATCGAAGCAAAAAGAGATTGACATTGAAGTACTCGAGGGAATATTTGCGACAACAGTTACGAAATTACGAGTTGTCATCTGCTTTACTGTTAGAAAGTTATTGAGTTGCATTTTTCGTGGAATGCGGTAAATCTGTCCATCATGACGAAACGAAAATTGAAAATAACGCGAGTTATGTCGAGTGACTCGCTCGAAAATAGTTACTGTAAATTGTTCGAATATTTTCCCGTGGAATATCTACACGAATTATTTCCAAAAACAGTTTCAACGCTATTATGTGGCGCGAATTTGAAATAATTAGACGACAGTATTTTTGAGTCTCCACGTGTTGATTTGCGGATAAATTTTTGGAAGACGCTCAAGAAAGGAAGAGAAACGCGGTGATGATCGTGTGAAATATATTTTCTCAGCCTGAGAATGTTGGTCGTTCATTGAAAGGAGCCCGGAAATCTCTTTCTCCGCGAAACTCTGGTACAGTCGTCTGTGAAAATGTACTTCTCGGTCACGAACCGTGTAATTAACGTTGTTGTTGTACACGAAAACCCATTAGACATTGAACTCTTTTCGATTGTATCATTGGAAGTTCTCCCTGCACGTCCATTAATCTTGATACACGAATTGTCAAACTTAATGCAATTTTTCAAACATGAAAAATATCTCAAAATATCCTTTGATCTCAAAAATCACTGGATACTTAAAAATCACTAGATCTAACAAATCACTGTACCTCAAAATATTCCTAGATCCTAAAGTACACTTGGACCTCCAAATATCCCTAGATCCAAAAATACTCTTGGACCCCAAAATATCTCTAAATTTCAAAATATCCTTTAATCTAAAAAACCACTGGATCCTAAAAAATCACTGTACTTCAAAATATCCCTAGATCCTGAAATATACTTGGATCTCCAAATATCCCTAGATCCGAAAATACTCTTGGGCCCCAAAATATCCCTAGACCCCAAAATATCTCTAAATTCCAAAATATCCCTAGACCCCAAAAATCACTGTACCTAAAAATATCCTTAGATCCTAAAATACACTTGGATCTCCAAATATCCCTAGATCCAAAAATGCTGTTGGACCCCAAAATATCTGAAGATCTTGAAAATCCCTATATTTCTAATATCTGAAATATCCCTAGACCCTTTATTATTCGCGAATAAAAAATCACGCGTGTTTCCATCGAAGCGAAATTTCGATGTCGGACTGTACGTCGCGCAGAAAAATTAAAAATACTCGGTTGTATAAACAGAAAATGAAAAATTGAAAATCGAGCGAAAACGCGGAGGGGGGTTAATATTCCGCGTAAAGAAAAGAAGAAAAACGGGAGCCAAGTGACAGCGCGACGTCTAAAGTGCAGCTGCAAGTGGACGAGCGTGCGGTGAATTCCGAGTGCGTCTAATTAAAAGTCATCTGCATATTTATGGACGAGGAAACTGCGGAGAAAGGGGCAGCCGCGGTGGATTAACGCGGGGAAAAAGCAGAGAAGAGGCCGCAGCGTGTATTAAAGAATAAAGGGCGAAAACAAACAAGCGGAAGAAACGTACGTCTGGTTAAAGTGGCCACGCTTACTACTTTCGTATACGGCGGCGAGCATGCGAATAGACTCGCTCGAAACGGGATAGCAGTTAAATTGTACAGTATCAAGTCCCACGATGCACCGCGCGTAATGTGGTTACGTTTTTTTTAATTGCCGTGCACGCCGGGCAAAAAGGTATCACCGTTTTGGGACGTAAAAGGAATTACGGTACATGCAACACTTTGTTCGATAGCAAAATTTATGTTTCTTTATCGAATATGTGGAACTGAGGTTGCACGCACTGAGGAGTGCATTTAGCTTGAATTTGATATTTTTAGAATTAGGGGATTAGTTTGGTATTTTTGGATTTGATCTTGATAAATAATTGGTATTATTAGGTTGGAAAGGGTGGTTCACTGGACATTACTACACTATTTAGCACTGATGCAGGTACCCTAAATATTCACTTGCAGAATTGTCAAAATCAGGTGTTTAATTTCCCAACTTCCCAAGCTTCTACGTTGCCAAATATCTCAAACTTCAACTTATCAAATGTCTGAAATTGTTTAAAGTTCGTAAACTTGTTAAGTTGAAGTCCCATGTCACATATGAGAATATCCCATGTCACGTATGAGAATGTCCCATGTCACATATGAGAATGTCCTACGTCACATATGAAAATGTCCACATTACCACCTGCCCCAACACCCAACATACCCAAACTCCCAACTACTCCAAGTACCCATAGAAAACAGTGAAGCTACGTGCGAATAGGTATCACGAAAACGGATCTAGCGTGTCCCGATCAAGAGATTAGATCAGGTGAGGAGGTCTAGAGCAAAGACCCCGGTTAGTTAGAGGTGGCAGGATAGCCGGTGAAACGATCGGTGAAAAGAGGAGCCGGGAGGAATCGTTGTTGTGAATGGAAGGAAGGAACGAGTCCTTTCAAGACGAAGAAACGCTTCAGCCTTCAGTTTCGCTTCAGTAACCGCGGTCTTGCTTCAGCTCCTCCCGGATTCCTTTGTTTAATACCTTATTGCGATATTTTAACACGGTTCCGCTGTTGCCATGCGGCTCCACGCTTACCCTGCTCGTCGTGTGTCGCCACAGTCGGCCAACGAGAATCATCCTGCCTCTACCAGACCGTCGTTATGCAATCGAACACGTTTTTCTTTTTTTTACCGACCTGCGATCGCCTCACCTTTTTAGGGCAAACTTTCGGCAGACGATATGCAACCGGTGCTGTTTTACCGACACTACGAATTTTTACCTTTAAGTGTGTGGACTTCATATGTACAGGAGGTTCATATGTAGAGGACGTTCATGTGTAGAGGACGTTCATGTGTAGAGGACGTTTATGTGTAGAGGATGTTCATATGTATAGGACGTTCATATGCATAGGAGGTTCATGTGTAGAGGACGTTCATGTGTAGAGGAGGTTCATATGTAAAGGACGTTTATGTGTAGAGGACGTTCATGTGTAGAGGACGTTCATGTGTAGAGGACGTTCATATGTATAGGAGGGTCATATTTAAAGGAGGTTCATATGTATAGGAGGTTCATATGTAAAGGACGTTCATATGTAAAGGACGTTCGTATGTAGAAGACGTTCATATGTAAAGGACGTTCATGTGTAGAGGACGTTCATATGTAAAGGACGTTCATATGTATAGGAGGTACATATGTAAAGGACGTTCATATGTAAACGACGTTCATATGTACAGGACCTTCATATGTAAAGGACGTTCATATGTATAGAATGTTCATATGTACAGAACCTTCATATGTAAACGACGTTCATATGTAAACGACGTTCATATGTATAGACCGTTCATATGTAAAGGATGTTCCTAAGAACGTTCACATGTATAGGATGTTCATACGTACATCTAAACTGGTTTATAACAGTAATTGAGTGATGGATAGTGCGTGGACAAGCTGATACCGTGATTGATTTGTTTGGATGCAGGTTAATGTACATTTTGAAAGCTTCCTAATAGCTCTTGTAATTGGAAATGAGGTTTGTCGTATAAACCGGTTAGGTTGAGGTAAATTAGCGTTAATTAAGTGCTTCAGCACGTGGTGCACCCTGAGTGACATGTGATAGGGACTCGCAGGTGACTCTCGTTATATTGCCAAATCCAGGAATATGACTTGTAAGAATGTTCGATAAATTTATGTATCAGCTATGATTTTTTGTTTAAAATTGAGGAGTAAATTAAAATAGCGTACATGTACCCTACGAAAGGGGTTACCGCTCCTAGAAATACCCTTGGATCCATCTTCCCCACGTTTCAGACGTATCTCTGAAACCCTTTTACACCCTTTAAAAATGAACACAGTCTCCGATGAAATTCGAGTTGTTCACTAGCAAAGGGTCACTAGATTTCGCCTCGACGATGAGAACCACTTGTCCGTACTCGTGTCTGGTCGGTAGAGACTGAGGTAACCAAACCGCAAACCCGGTGAATCACCCGGGAAGGACGGCTCTCTCCGTCTCCTCCTGGTCTCGTTCCTTCTTTTCACCTTTTTTTACCCTACACATCCATCGCCGGTGATTCAGGATCGGCTCGATCCTACGCCGTCGCAATAACTTTTCACTCTCCCTTCAGATTGCCGGTCGTGGAAAAACGGCGACTGATCCGGATAGTCTGCGAGATTTTGGCAAATAACTTTTATGACGGACCTGTTTCTGATTAGGATTTTTATATTTTGTCCTGAGTCTTCAAATTCTTGAGTAACAAAATATTAAATTCCTAAAATCACAAATCTTCTTTAATAGACAAGTCTCCAAATCGTGGAATTCCTAAATCTAGGAATCTGCAAAGTTAAATCTACAAATTGAAGGAATCTAGTGATCTACGAATATAGGAACCTAGAAATCTATGAACGTAGAAATCTAGGAATGTAGAAATTTAGAAATCTAGGTATCGATCTAGGAATCTGAGAATGTTGGGATCTGAAAAGATATTAGTATATAATTGAATGCTGTTACCTAATAAAATACCTAGAGAAAATTTGCCATGCCACGACGAGCTTCGAGAAATCTTTTCTTCGTTCCCCAGATCGTATTAATTGCTCTGTGCTCGTTACTCATCCGACTGCATGAATTCTGGAGTAAACCTGTAATTAGCATACACGAAGATCAGTCTCCTGTTTAACAACTTCAAATTTTTCATTTAATCATTTTTCTTTCTAATAAGGCAGATATAAATCACTCTAACGTTACAGGTTTTTCACTCGTGTTCCAGGTAATATCTATAATATTGTAACACAAAATAACAGTAGTCGCAAACATTATAATTATCATGCCACTATTAAACATATGACCAATGTTATAATAATGTGACAAGTGTTAAAATGCAATTATTTGAATGAAACTATATTTTTCTTTACTACAATAAAATTCTGTGGTGCAATAATAAAATTCTTTATTACAACAAAATTCTGTGGTACAATAATACAATTCTTTATTACAACAAAATTCTGTGGTACAATAATACAATTCTTTATTACAACAAAATTCTGTGGTACAATAATACAATTCTTTATTACAACAAAATTCTGTGGTACAATAATACAATTCTTTATTACAACAAAATTCTGTGGTACAATAATAAAATTCTTTATTACAACAAAATTCTGTGGTACAATAACAAAATTCTTTATTACAAAAAAATTCTGTGGGACAATAATAAAATTCTTTATTACAAAAAAATTCTGTGGTGCAATAACAAAATTCTTTATTACAAAAAAATTCTGTGGTACAATAATAAAATTCTTTATTACAACAAAATTCTGTGGTGCAATAATAAAATACTTTATTGCAATAAATTTCTGTGGTACAATAATAAAATTCTTTATTACAACAAAATTCTGTGGTACAATAATAAAATTCTTTATTACAACAAAATTCTGTGGGACAATAATAAAATTCTTTATTGCAACAAAATTCTGTGGAACAATAATAAAATTCTTTATTGCAACAAAATTCTGTGGTACAATAATGAAAATTATTTTTGGGATCCATTGCACAATTACTTCAGCAACATATGAAGTATAAGAAAATAAAAGAAGAGGGTTTTGTATACTTTGTATACCATTATCACTGCACGGTAGCAGACTTTAAGTTCGAAAACTGAACCACTCATCGTAAATAACTAGAGTCTCACCGTGTTTTTACTACGCATACCGGTTCTCAGTGTGCCGGTTAACGTGTTAATAACCGTCATCAGAAAATCCATCAATGTCGTTATCACTGTTACACTCACCGTACTAAATAACGTTTTCATTCCTTGGAGGAAGCTAGTTCAGTTGAATCACACGTGCGAGTGTAAAAAGAGAGGATATCGTGTATTTATAGCATTTGTTATACATATGGATTTATGAGGAGTTGACTGCTATATTTAGGCAGATTTTTTAATGCAAGTTTATGTTTATTCAATCGTTTATATTCTTTCAAATTTATATATATATTCAGTTAGCTGTATTATTTTAAATTTATATACATTCACTTAGCTATATTATTTTAAATTTTTGTATATATATGTTCATATTCTTCAAATTAATCCATCAAATATTCACATTTAATAAATCTCCCTTCTCAAATCTTTAATCACATCATAAGAACAGGTAGTTTCATCCACATGCTATTTAAACAGTACCCAACAAAAATAAATAGAAAATCCATTAAAAAGTCGCAATACAGTTTACACAATTTCTCAATCGAAGCACTATCCAGCTGCTTATTACCTCAACATCGAAATATAAACGTCATGCAATTTTATTTGTTCCTCAAACAAACCATAACTCCAGCAGTTACTATAATAGTATCGAAGATTGGCAAACAGATATTTAACCGTCGATCGTGCAACTTAATTACCGGAAACGATTGCCAGTAGATCGATATCGAGGTAAGACGTGATCGAACTGCGCTTTTCGAAATTTATCGGTGTACTCGCGGTCATTATGTCTATCAAAAGGCTTCTTAGTCGGTTTCCTTTTTCGTTCGGCTGATACCGTTAAGCGTTTGCTACAAAATCATTGATGGAGAAGCGGACCTCTCGCAATATCCTCTCTGTCTCTAATTGGACCACGCTGCTGTTTTCTATCGCGGATTTCTACATTGCAATATTTTCTACGGATTTTCGATCTTGGTTTTGCAATTTAATATGTTCGATGGGTAGAGAAAGCAGGTTTGTCGAGGTGTATTTTATTTTAGGTGCTGAAAGGGGTACCGGTTTGGAGATTTGGGGAATTCGAGGTTTCAGGATTTTGGGGATTTAGGGACTTGGGGATTTGGGATTGGAGGATTTAGGGATTTAGGGGTTTGGGGATTTGGGATTGGAAGATTTAGGGATTTAGGGATTTAGGGGTTTGGGGATTGGAGGATTTAGGGATTTAGGGGTTTGAGGATTGGAGGATTTAGGGATTTAGGGATTTAAGGATTTAGGGGTTTGGGGGTTTGGGGATTTGGGGATTTAGGATTGGAGGATTCAGGGATTTAGGGATTTGAGATTGGAGGATTTAGGGATTTAGGGATTGGAGGATTTAGGAGTTTGGGGATTGGAGGATTTAGGGATTTAAAGATTTAGGGGTTTGGGGTTTGGGGTTTGGAGGATTTAGGGATTTAGGGACTTGAGATTTGGGATTGGACGATTTAGGGATTTGAGATTTGGGATTGCAAGATTTAGGGATTTGGGATTGGACGATTTAGGGATTTGAGATTTGGGATTGCAAGATTTAGGGATTTGGGATTGGACGATTTAGGGATTTGAGATTTGGGATTGCAAGATTTAGGGATTTGGGATTGGACGATTTAGGGATTTGAGATTTGGGATTGCAAGATTTAGGGATTTGGGATTGGACGATTTAGGGATTTGAGATTTGGGATTGCAAGATTTAGGGATTTGGGATTGGACGATTTAGGGATTTGAGATTTGGGATTGCAAGATTTAGGGATTTGGGATTGGACGATTTAGGGATTTGAGATTTGGGATTGCAAGATTTAGGGATTTGGGATTGGACGATTTAGGGATTTGAGATTTGGGATTGCAAGATTTAGGGATTTGGGATTGGACGATTTAGGGATTTGAGATTTGGGATTGCAAGATTTAGGGATTTGGGATTGGACGATTTAGGGATTTGAGATTTGGGATTGCAAGATTTAGGGATTTGGGATATGAGGTTTAAAATTTGAGAAGTCTGGGACTTCAGGATTTAGGGATTTGAGATTTGGGATTTGAGGTTTAAGATTTGAGAAGTCAGGGACTTCAGAATTTAGAGATTTGGGATTTGAGGTTTAAGATTTGAGAAGTCAGGGACTTCAGGATTTAGGTATTCGGGATTTGAGATTTGAGGTTTAGGATTTGAGAAGTCAGAGACTTCAGCATTTAGGGATTTGGGAATTTTAGAATTTGAAGATGGGAAATTTAGAGATTTGGGGATTCGTCGAATTGGAAATTTGAAGATTTGTGGATTAAGAAAGTTGTCGAATTGAAGATTGGGGATTTGAGACCTTAGATGTTGAGATCTTAGAATTGAAAATTTAGGGAATTAAGTAAGTGTTCATCTTCAAGCTTGAAATTTCTGATATTTCCCCGATTATGAAATTTGAAGAATCTTACATTTGTAAAATAGAATACAATACCAAAAAGACACAAGTCCTCGATCGTCTCCGATGCTTTTCGTTCGGAAAACGGCTAAAATCGACGTTCAGACCGAAGACACGATAGAAAGCTGCGTTTCCACGCGGCTTTTTACGTTTATGACGCCAGCCAGTTCCAATTTTAGCGGGCGTGCGAACGCGTCTGATTCACGGCGACATTCCTTGCATTGCTTGCCGGATGAATTTCATTTTTGTCCGGGAGAAACGGACGGGGAACACACTTATTGAACGTGATGCTCCTGCACACGGTACTCTCGAGACTGGACAAAGAAAATTTCGTTAAATTCCATCAAACTTAGCTTGACAAATCTTTTATGTAGTCTAGTATCATTTATCTTATCACATATGCTAAAGGTGGTCTAAATAGTACAATAATTATTTCACGTGTGTAATTTTATTTTTACATATGTGGATATTAGATGGTTTTGGTTGAAGAGAAAATTATATTTTTGTAGAAGACTGTGGGTACATGAAAGCATTTATTAATATGAATATTGTACATCTATGAAATCATGTAACTTATTATGGACAGTACACATATGTAGATGAGGTCATGTGTTATCATGTACATCACACATGTATAAATTCATGTACTATTGTTAACTTCATACATTTTATATATATAAAATGATATGCTATCGTGAACATTGCACATACATGATATCATGTGTTACAACATACGTGATACACATATGAAGTCATATATTAATAATGAGTATTATACACACGTGAAGTCATGTATTAATAATGAACATTATACACACATGAAGTCATATAATATTAATAATGAACATTATACACACATGAAATCATATATCAATAATGAACATTATACACACATGAAGTCATGTATTACAATGAATGTTATACACACATGAAGTCATACATTAATGATGAACATTGTACACACATGAAGTCATATATTAATAATGAACATTGTACACACATGAAGTCATGTATTATAATGAACTTCATACACATATGAAGTCATGTATTACAATGAACTTTATACACATATGAAGTGATGTATTACAATGAACAATATACACATATGAAGTGATGTATTACATTTGATGTTATACACACATGAAGTCATATATTAATAATGAACATTATACACACATGAAGTCAATGTATTACAATGAATGTTATACACATATGAAGTCATATATTAATAATGAACATTATACACACATGAAGTCATGTATAACAACGAACGTTCTCCACACAAGAAATTATCCAACTACTCCCTTACAATAAAAAATAAGCAGATCAATACAGTATCGTCAAGATCAGAAGATTCGTCGAAACTAGTCGTTACAGAGAAAGGCGTCTAAACTCGGACAAGCTTACTCACTCGGCCATGAATGCGCCGCGTTTTCGAATTCTTCGCCGGCACGCGGCGAGAAAAGAAGAAATAAAAAGCAAGAACTAAAGAGAAAAAAGAAAAGGCCGAAAAGAAAATTACCAACAACATCAGGACCGTTAAATTGACTAGAAACGCGGCGGGGCAGAAAATACGAGGCAGATGAATCGCGCTTCTGTCGATCTAATTTCATACAATTTCAACGCGCCGGTTTCTACGTAAATTAGCTCAAGAAAGTAACAAATCATTCGGATCATCTAAACGCCGCTCTCCTTTCTTCGTAATCGAGCGGCTTTGCTGGTTCAGTTCTTTAAATCGATTGGGGTAATTCCGGCTGACACGTCTTCTTTATTTTTAACTTCCTCGCACGTTTCTTTTACAAAACTGTATCTTGCATGTATTAAAAAAATGAATTTAGAAGGCTTGATTAGCATAGACATTTTTATTATATGATCACATGTAATGATCACAATAATTATGATCATAATCATACATACATAAATCATGATCATAAGACAAGAATAATAAAAATAAGAACAAGTATAATAATCACAATAATTATGACCACAATCATACATACATAAATCATGATCATAAAATAAGAATAATAAAAATAATAATAAGTATAATAATCACAATAATTATGATCATAATCATACATACATGAATCATGATCATAAGACAAGAATAATAAAAATAAGAACAAGTATAATAATCACAATAATTATGATCATAATCATATATACGTAAATCATGATCATAAAATAAGAATAATAAAAATAAGAACAAGTATAATAATCACAATAATAATTATCATAATCATGATACCTAAAAATATACAAATCTATAAATTCCATAATTACAAAAACCCTGAAATATTTCCCAAATAGAAAACTTGCAAAATCTTCACAAGTGTCCTCACATCAAAACGAATCATCTTGTAGATGCCCTAACCTCCTAAATTCCCTAAGGAAAGATATCAGTGCCACTCCTATTCCTATTCTCTCGACTATTTCGCGAAGACACGACCTTTTCGTTTCTTAGATCAAGCGAACACAAAGGCCCGTTGCACTTGCCACGAAATTCCGATCATGCGGATTGCCTTTAAGCCTAGCTTTTGATCTTTGCTCGGTTCGCGTGATACATGGAACTAATCTCGTTCCTCGAGGAACGGTGAAAGGCCAGACGTCTCGATTGATGCTTCAATATCCTGGTAAAAATCGCGATTTTCTGGGAATCGTCTGCCACACCTACGCCGGTGCATTGCCCCTTTCTATCCTCATTTTTCTTCCGTGGGCGGATTTCATGCAACAAGTTACCTTAACCCGACGGGGAACATTATGGGTTCTCGCGCGTGAAAACGCCGATTCAACGTGCCTCCATTACGTTCTATTATAGTGATTTTCACTGTACATCATTTCACCCTCGGGCGAACTGCTGTTTTATGGAATTACCTGCTTTTTGGCTACCTTCTTATTAGAAGGTTAACTTATGATAAATTTTAGAATTCTGGAAAATTTATTTAATTGCAAAATTTTACTGGTGTTCGTCAAGATTAGGAATGAGTTGTCTCTTTTATGACTGTCTTTAATCAAATTTTTAGCAATTTTTTCCCTGTGTTTTTGACTGACACATTCACATATGAGAAATATTTGACGAATTTAAAATTCATGAAATATTAAAAAAATAGAAATGGAACATTTTCGAGTAGTTAAAGTTTAACTAGGTTAAAACACGAAAGCGTTATCTGTAATCGCAACACGCGATAACAATGCCATGAAACAAAGAACACACCCATGGTGTTCCATTACAGCGTTACGATACTGGCTCTAATTAAGTTCGTTAAAACGTTTTCCCTGCTGAGCTAATTTTGCCCGTGACACAAACAAGGGATCGGCGATTGGTATACAAATTCCTTAATTTCGTACGTAACCATTATAAACCCCTTTCACAAGTTTTATTTCCGTAAAATCCTCATATTGCAATATCGTGCTATTTCTGCATTCTCATATGTGCAAATACCTACATCCTCATATGTTCTATTCTCCTCATTTGTTCAAATACCTACATCCTCATATGTTCTATTCTATTTTCATATACATTCATGTGTATTCATTACTGCATTCCCAAATCCTCATATAGTTGTACCACATCTCCAGTTTCTCATATGTGTACTCACATATGCTCATATGTGAAGACCACATGGTTTTAGATTCTCATATATGAATTTTTACCAAATTTTTATCTTTCTATATTGCCATGTTGTCATATCAGCTCATTACCATACTTCCACATTGAAGTCTTCATATGTCCACATATGCACATGTCCACATATCCACATTTTTACATTTGACAAACTTTTATATTTTTAAATTTGTAAATTTAAAAATGTGCAAATTTATATATTTGCAAATACATACATGTACAAGTAGATAAATATACAAACGTACAAATGTATAAATACACATATGTGTATTTATTTGTGACTACATATGTATTCTACATGTACACATTGTACAGTTAGAAATTTTTCTCTAATAAATTGTGTAAACTTTCTACAGTCCCCTGAAAGAGCCTGTATCTCTAACCTCTATCTATATAGCCACAGTAAAATCTATTACCATAATCTGAGCAGCAAAAACTGTTTATCAAGCCAGCACACAGAATCTAAAATCATCCAACGAAATCGAAACTGCAGAAAAACGACATTCACGTGCACGAACGTAACATTACATCGCTATTCTCCACCCGGAACGGCGATGTTCCCGAGCAGCATCGTTATTCGCAAAATAAAACCGGTTCTCTGAACTTTATGGCGGTCTTAACAACGATAATAATAGAATTTCTCGGCCATAGTTGAACAGTGCGCCGAACAGCGTATCTGCTTTCGTTCGAGGGAGCTGATTTTACGAATTTTTGGATTGAGAGTGGAAATTTTGGGGATTTGGGGATTTGGGAGTTTGGGGATTTAGGAGCTTAGGGATTGGAAAATTTAGGGATTTGGGAATTTAGGAATTTGGGAGTTTAGGGATTTGGGAGTTTAGGGATTTGGGAGTTTAGGGATTTGAGGATGTGGGGATTTGGGGACGTGGGGATTTCGGGGTGTAGGGATTTGGGGACGTAGGGATTTCGGGGAATTTGGAAGCGTGGGAATTTGGGGACGTGGGGAATTTGAAGATGTGGGGATTTGGGGACATGGGATTTTGGGTGCGTGGAAATTTGGGGGCGTGGGAATTTGGAAGCGTGGGAATTTGGGGACGTGGGGAATTTGAAGATGTGGGGATTTGGGGACATGGGATTTTGGGTGCGTGGAAATTTGGGGGCGTGGGAATTTGGAAGCGTGGGAATTTGGGGACGTGGGGAATTTGAAGATGTGGGGATTTGGGGACATGGGATTTTGGGTGCGTGGAAATTTGGGGGCGTGGGAATTTGGAAGCGTGGGAATTTGGGGACGTGGGGAATTTGAAGATGTGGGGATTTGGGGACATGGGATTTTGGGTGCGTGGAAATTTGGGGGCGTGGGAATTTGGAAGCGTGGGAATTTGGGGACGTGGGGAATTTGAAGATGTGGGGATTTGGGGACATGGGATTTTGGGTGCGTGGAAATTTGGGGGCGTGGGAATTTGGAAGCGTGGGAATTTGGGGACGTGGGGAATTTGAAGATGTGGGGATTTGGGGACATGGGATTTTGGGTGCGTGGAAATTTGGGGGCGTGGGAATTTGGAAGCGTGGGAATTTGGGGACGTGGGGAATTTGAAGATGTGGGGATTTGGGGACATGGGATTTTGGGTGCGTGGAAATTTGGGGGCGTGGGAATTTGGAAGCGTGGGAATTTGGGGACGTGGGGAATTTGAAGATGTGGGGATTTGGGGACATGGGATTTTGGGTGCGTGGAAATTTGGGGGCGTGGGAATTTGGAAGCGTGGGAATTTGGGGACGTGGGGAATTTGAAGATGTGGGGATTTGGGGACATGGGATTTTGGGTGCGTGGAAATTTGGGGGCGTGGGAATTTGGAAGCGTGGGAATTTGGGGACGTGGGGAATTTGAGGACGTGGGAATTTGGGGACGTGGGAATTTGGGAATGTGGGGATTTGGGGATGTGGGGATTTGGGGATGTAGAGATTTGGGGATTTAGGTATTTGGAAGTTTAGCAATTAAGGGATGTAGAGATTACGAATTTGTAGATTTGGAACTCTATTGAGAATTCGTGGCTTTCGAAATTTGAAAAAGTCACTATCCTTCTATTTCATCTGTCGCAAAAAAAGAATAAAAAGAGCTATAAATCACGAGACTCACGGATCGTTGACTCGCATCACTGCACTTGCATCTTCCAGATTGACCCACCATTGACCCACGATCGTATCATCTCTTCCCCACAAATTAGATCACCAACTCCCCGATTCACCGAAAGCATATCTAAAATTTACTTTCGTGCATCGAAATTGTAACTATGCGTTCTCCGTGAAAGCGTACAGGCTTCAGACATCCATTAACCTCTTGCGTTTGAAATTGATTGATTGATGGCTAGGCATGATCCATCCATCAAAAATAATTCCCGTCGAAAATAAAAGGAGCTTTTAAAGGAAGTACAACGTGTTCAATACGTTAGTTTGTTTAAGATTAATTGATTGTGACGGGCAGATAAAACATCGTTAGGAATTTTATGAATTTTTATATTTCATTACTGTTTGTAAGATTATTGTAGCTTGTGTATTATGTAATACGAAATTCTTTGGTTAAAGTATTACATTTTATGTGTATTTATTAGATACACAATGAAGTTGATTTATGATAGTGAAAATTGAGTGATAATAACCAGAACTGTTTATTTAAATAACAGAATTGATAAAAATGAAGTTTAGCAATTAATGAGAAATTGTTTCTTGAAACAGCGTCGCTGGATGTTCCGTTAATTTCCGTCTCTCGTTCGGTTTCCCCTTAAGGTTTCGAGTTATTTTCAGTGAAGGAGGGTTAAGAAGAAAACTAAAGAGTTTAAGGGGCAATCTCTAA